GCAGTCACTGAAGTACAAGCAGCTCGTAAATCCATCCTGTCTGTCTGCCTCAAACAACCTTGTAGTGGTTTCATGATCAAGCAGTGGCCTATGAATTGTACTTCCAAAATGATAATAACTGATGGTGTGATCTTGGATCATTGCCTGCCTTTCTGTGCCTTTGTTTACCTGTTTGCCTAAAGAAGCATTACCGTTCCTGGGTCGAAAAGGCCTGTTTAACTTCAGCAAGGAGTTCCCAGATAATTATAGTTACTTAGTAACTTCCATCTCAGAGCAAACTGGTTGTGGCTGCTAAGAAATGTTGTGGCTTCCCTTTTGGTCAAAATCAGCAGCTGACCTGAAGGTACCTCCAGTTCTCAAACCTTTAAACAAAGTCTGCCCTCAAAAGTACAGCTTAGGAGCTGGAACAAATTGCTGTATCCCTTATCTGCTGGGTCTGACAGGGACCCCAGAAATGCACACTGACCCTGGTTTCACACCAGAGCTACAGATGTGCTAAGAACTAAATATGCTCTATTTACTGAAGAAAAGCAAATGCTAGTACAAACAACTGTGACAATGGATTCATCTTGCTTTGGGCATATTTATCCAGGGTATTGCCATTACGTCATTCCCACTAGGCTTTTATTATCTACTATTTTAGGTCCTGGCAGCTGTTACAAGCTCTAGTCAGAGGTCAAGATGCTGTTGAACTTCAGATCTTTTTGAAAGAAGAGCATAATTCTACCAGCAACAATGTTAGATTTGCAGCAGTGCAATGTCATACAAATCATGAAAGACAATTTAATCTATATTATACTTATTTTTGAAAATGAGGTTTAATTGCCAAAAAGTTAGATACTGCATGTTAAGTTCCATCTGGAAAAGGCTACCATAACTTCATCTTTGATAATTAAATAGAGTAATTTTGGGCTTTTTCATTATATCAGAAAAGACTACAAATTATTTAAGAACAATTTCCACCATCTAAATAAAATAATACTGAAATATCTGCTGTGATTTGTAGTAACTGCATAAAACATGATGGCATGATTTTCCTTTTTTTTCTCTCTGTGTGCAGTGCTGACCTTCATGAACTGTTTGTCACAGTGCGTAATTACATTCCTTTCACCTGAACTATTTCTACATATTTTCAATTTCTGTTTGCTGAAGCTGATTGTTGGTGAATGTTTCAGTGTGAAAATTGCATGCAGACACTTGGGTGGTGAACTTCTGTGTAGTTTATGAGAAATTTTGCTTTCAGACAAAATTCAGACTCAGAAGAGCAGAGTCTCTCAGAGAACTGTTGGTGAACTGTACCTGAGTTGCCACTGAGAGAAATGCTCAAGGCAAAAATGCAGAGCTCAAGTTTTTCATAAAATAATCCATTCCTCCTGAGGGCCTCACTCCCAGATAAACAGTGCTCCAGGGCGAGCAGGAGATGGCTCTTGCACTACTGATCAGTTAGAAGGTTGTTGTGATCATGAGCAGAAGCCAGGATATCTGAGAAGTCCCTGTTGGTCCAAGAACAGTCTCTATTTTTTTACTGGACAAATCCCACCACCTCTGGCCTCAAAGCTTCAACCCCCAAATTCTGCTTAGTGTTATGGTAGTATCTGACCCAGAGAACTTAGAAATCTCATCTGCTTATGCCTTATGCTCGCCATGCAGGCAGGACATGACTCAGAGAGCCTGGTGAGATTTGTTTTGCTGCTATCTCCTCTGCCTGTGTTCGAGCTCCCCATTCCTGAGCTCTGCCTGCCCAGCATGTGCTGTGGACACTGCAAGCTGCGTGGGCAGGGAATGAGTTTTGGTTTTAGTAAAAATGGGCAGTTACATCATCTTGCACAACAGGTCTTTGCTCTGTGGCTGGCCTGGGCCAACTGAGTCCTCCCAAGCTGCAAAAATATGGCAAACTTGAAACTGCAGTAATTAAAAAAATATTATACTATGTTATGTATACTAACAACACATTCTAGGCTGCTCCCTGCATAGAATCTCCCAGATGTACCTGGCAACAAGGGAGAGAGAGATTTGAATACTAATATCAGCTGGAGGAGTGGGGCCCTTATTAGTATTTTGGCTAATTGCCAGGTTGCCTGCTCTTGAAAAATTTGCCTGTGCTGAGCTAGACATATTTTTCATGTGTAGAAAATTTTTATTGAGTGTTGGTAGGGCTTTATATTTTCCTAATGCTTCCTACAGTCAACTGTGTGAAGGTTCACAGTAGCCATGAGGTCAGAGTTTCTACCTCAAAGAAGGCCTTCTACCTTAGGAGGCCTTCCTTGGAAAACTTGGAAAACTGTAACAGCTGAACAGGCCCAGAAAAGACATTGCAATTTCGGAGAGCACCAGATGTAAACTCACAAAATGAAGAAAATGAAGAAGTATTTTTGTGTTTTGTGGGCGGGGGGGGGGGGGGATATTTTTTTGCTTGTTTGCTTGGCTATTCTTTTTTTCTTTTTTAGTAAATACAGATGACTAACTCAGGGCCTCCTTTTCCCCTTCCCTGCAGGCAGAACAAAGTCTCTGATGAGTTGCTTGTTCAAAAGGTTCCCACTGATTTTACCTTTGGGTCTGTTCTAGCTTTCTCATTGTTTCATGTAAGCATTTTCTGTGGTAATTAGTCTGTAATAGCATAATCCCTGGTGGCCTTCCTGGAGTGTCTGGACTCTCTGGGTTGAGAAAGCTCTGCTGGGGGGCAACATATTTTTCTCTGTGCGGGAAGAGGAAGAGTTGATGTTGTGAATGGTGTCCTGACTACGATGGAAAAATCTCTTAAAAGAGGAAAGTTTTGCAGCATTTCCTATAAATGATTCAGGCTACATTTGTCTGATTTCCTCTGGAAGATCCCAGCAACCAAGATAGTGTCTGTGTATTTTGTCCCTGGCTGTTTCCTTCTGGGCTCTGTGGTCTCCATTGTCCCAGAGGAACACAGGTATCTCTGTGATTTGTAGATGCAGTTGCAGGCATTTTTTGTAGCTGGGCACAGACACATTCAGAGCTTTGAAGTGTAAGACCTTCAACTGGCAGGGAAACAAATTAAAAATCCTCTTCAGCTTCCTAAAATGCAATGCCTAGAGTCATCTGAACTGTGAGGCCATGAAGAAAAACTAGTTTTTAAAAGGCTTTTTAAAAATAAAGTAGATATTTGATACATTGGTTGCATTTGATATGTTGTTTGCATTTCCTCTAAATTATTTTGACAAACTCTCAATATGAATGCCTTGAATTTCAAGTTTTTCCTTTTTGGATAGAGCAAAATTAAGACAGCCTTTCAGGTGTATGGCCACAGACAGAGGAAGAACAGACATGTTCAGGGGAAAAATACAGCCATCCCGTGATAATCAACAGAACAGAAAGGGGCTGGGAATCCTAGTTTTGGAAGCTTGTCTCCAGACAAGGGATTTCTGCAACACGACAGACCCTAAAAAATTTAACTTACAACTGCAGAAGCTCTTCTGGCTCTGTAGGGGAGAGGATTTATTTGGAGTATGGCTTTGCTGGCTGAGCTCTCATCTTGGGCCCTTGGACAAATCCCATGACTCAGTTTCCCTGTGTAGAACAGAAAGGTTTCTCTTGATGGTCTTCATACAGCTTCTTTGAAATCTTTTGGTGAAAAGGGCCATAGTGACAGGGTGCTGGTGGTGTGTTCACGGCAGAATCAGTGTGATCTGAAGTCAGGGGGACCCCTGTGCAGAACCTAAAACAGTTTCATTGCCTAAGCCCTGTTTTCTGAGCACCCCGAGGCTGAATTTAACTGCTGTGCTGTTAAATTTAACTGAATTTAACTGCTGTGTCAGTGGTGCAGTGCAGAGATGCTCACACTCCCTGGGCCTGCCCAGTCTTGTGGGAATCCAGAGCTTCCCTCTGGCTGCCCTGGCAGGTCTGGGACCCTGGCAGGGGTCAGGAACTTCCCTGGACAGAGCCCCAGAGACACTGTCTGTGATCTCTGTCCATGGAAAAGAGTTTTCAATCTTACAGGATGAATTACAAGCTCTGAGTGTTTGATATAAATAATAATTAAGTGTGGCACGGGTGCAAAAGTAAAATTTTAGGATTCTAGATAAGGGGTCCAAGGAGATAAGATGGAGGAAATTGGGTGTGTCTTGTCCTTTTCCTCCTTCTTCATGCCCTCCATGTTTCACTGTGGTGTTGGCATTTTTCTGTTGGTTTAGGCTGGGGACACACTGTTCAACGTAGGTGACAGATATTGGCACGTTATTGTAAATCCAGCACAGGTAGTTTCTGGTATTTAATGTTTGTACCATCCCACTGAGGGCAGAGCCCCACACGCTGCCCTGCAGGACAGAGCTGCGGCAGGGCAGCAGAACATGTTAGAGATAAACAGAATAAACAACCTTGAAACCAGCACAGACGAATTATGGCTTCTGCTTTGGCAGCGGGGCTGAAAGACAGAGACTTTCTACAATCTCAGAATCGTCAATACCTCAGATTCCGACAAAGTCCCATTTCTGGGACTGCTTTGGATGCCAATCCCTTCTACCTCCATGCAGCCTCCTTGTGTTTTGGAGTGGGGCAAGAATGGGGACAAACAGGACAAATATCCCTTCCAGCTGTTCTCCCTTCCACATTACAACACACATTGTAATGGTTTTGTGTTCTTGACAGCGGTGATCTTACCTCTGTAAGACTCATATGCAAAGTGAACGTTTTTTTCCCACATTATTTGAAATAGTCAAGGATTTCCCATCTGCCACATGAAGGCATGAACAAGGCAAAGATTTGAGTATTTCCCTGCTGTTAATGAAAACTTCTAAAAGTTTGACATAAACTTCTCCTTCCTACTAGTTTTTTGGGCTCTGGAAGATCTTCCAGCAAGCCGCTCGGTGCAAAGATAAACAACCAAACCAAAACAACACCCTTAGCAGCGTTGATTCTCGCTTTAACGCTTTATTTGTTGTTTTTTTTAGTGACTAGTGACCGGTCGAGGCCGCCCCTGAGGGCGAGGACTACAAGTCCCGGCATGCCGCGGGGCGCGGCGCATGCGCGCCGGGCCGGGCTTGAGTGGCAAGTTGTTTGTTCCAGCGAGCACCAGCTGCTCGGCACTCCGCGCTCCGCTGCTCCGCGCCCCGCCGGCCTCCCCGCCGCTCCAACTTTTGCACCCTCTGCTCCCTCATCCCCTGCTCCTGCCCCCGCAGCTGGGAAGGGACAGAGAGAAGCCAGGAGGGGAGGAAAAAAAAAAATTAAAAAAAAAAAGAAAGAAGGCACCGACAATAACAGCTCCCCCCCCTCCCCCTCCCCATTCAAAAACACAACATAAACCCCAGGGATAGATGAACTACAAATGAGAAAGAGGAAAAGATGGAACTGCACATCCTAGAGCACAGGCTCAGAGTGGCCAGCATAGCCAAGGAGAGCATCCAGTTGTTTACCTATGGATTAATCAAACTTGCTTTCCTGTCCTCTAAGACGAGGTAGGTGCTGGGGATGGGGCAGCGCGGGGGAGGGCGGTTGTCCTCCCTGCGAGGGGACAGAGTGTCGGGGGTGCACCCTGGGTGCTGGCAGGGCACCCTCTGCTCTCCCAGGGGTGAGTGGGGGGCATCTGCCTTGCGAGTGAGCAGGGCAACCTCCTAGAAAGGGGGTGGGTTGATGGGTGCTCTCCTCCTTGGGGGGGAAAAAAAAAATACATATATGTATATAAAGCAGGGTCCTGGGATGGAGGAATGGAGGACAGCCTTCCTTGCAAGGGGACAGCGTTGGGGTAGGGGTCACCCTCCTTCCTGCCGAGGGGCAGGGTGCTGGGGTGGGTGATGGCACCCTCCTTGCTGCTGGGTCGGGGGGACGCCCTCCTCGCCAGAGGACAGGCATTTTGGGGGAGGTGAGGAGAACACCTGCCTCTTCCCTACACACAGCCCCCATCCCGAGAGTGGGAGCTGGTGGTGAGGATGGTGGCCGGAGCTCGGGGTGCTCTGGGGATCCCCTGAGCGCCTCCCGCCTGCCCGGGGATCAATGGGGCGGTGGGGGCCCGGCCGCAGGCTCGGGGCGCCCGCCGGACAACAAAGGCAACGAGGAGCCCGAGCAGCAGCAGCAGTGCTGCTGGTGGGTTTTTCCCCTCTCTCGCTCTCTCTTTTTTTTGTTGGGTTTTGGTTTGTTTTGTTGGTTTTTATTCCCCCCCCTCCCCTGGATTGTTGTTCCGTGCAGCCCTTACAAAAAGAGCGGGTCCTCCACGCGCGGGTTGGTTTAAAAGGTGCTTTTCCAGCGCTGCCAAACTGGGGGAGGACGAGGGGCGATGCATCCTTTGCACTTTAATATTGTGGTATTAAGGCATTCGGATTGTGATAGCTTTCGGGGAAAAGAAAAACATACTTGAAGGCACTGTTGAGAATCATTTTCTTTTTTTTATTTAGGGGGAGGAAAGAAAACACTGTGGCCAGTTTATTGGATATATATAAGGTGCTAGGCCTTTTGCACAAAACAACTTGAATTGCAATTGCAGATTCTTCTGTCTTCACTTAGTTTGTTGACTTCATGCTGTTCAGAAAGAGGAATGGGAATGTAAATAACACAATTCAAACTCTTCTTGTTTTTCCTGCCTGATAATTAGTATTTCAGTTTTCTCCCCACATTCTTTCTTGTATTAAGGTGGGAAATTTTCTTTGGCAGTAGGAAAATAATGAATAGATATTTAATATAAAAGCAAATTAATTTGTTTTATTTCAAACTGTAATTCAGCGCTCTCTGTTAAAATGCTTACAGATGAATGGACCCATTTGTGGTGTAATTTGATTACAGCCCTTTATCTTAAACTTCATGCCTTGAAATTTCACTCTGATTTGGCTTTCCACTAACATTGTTTGCAATGTAAACTATATCAGCACCTTGTTTACTGCTGTCCCTGAATACTCCACAGGGCATTAAAGGGTCCTCACTCTTAAGCTTCTAGTTTTATGTGTTGTTTCATTGTAATTGAAAGTTGCTGCTGATTTTTTGAAGGTCTTGTTGCTTCCTCTCCTCTCCCATGCTTAAAATGTCACTCTTACTGTCAACAATGAAGTCTTTAATCTGTCACTCTTAATGCATAGACTGGAGTTTTGTGCAGCTTTTTCTGTTTGTTTGGGATTATTAATTTTTTTTTAAATTATTTTTTAAACTTCAGGGATGGTCATGTTGTCTTTTTGTTTCACATTACATTTCACAATTTCAATGTTAGAGAGCTGTGAAAGGGTCAGGGCAGTAAGATAACCCCTCTGGGGTTTGATGCCTTGTCCAGCATTTGGATGCAGCACCTGACAGTTTTGTATTGTCTCTGATTGCTGTGTTGTCTTTTAACATATACACCCTGAGTATCAATCTTTCCTTACCTTCCATGAAATCTCACTGATCAGGAACAACAAATGTTTGTGGAAGGATTTGTTGGCATGGGAAACTTCTCTTTATTTCCCTTTTGTTAATTTTGTTATTTTTGCAGGGATGTAGAGATGCAGGGGAAGCTTGTTTGTGTCATTCTTGAGACAGCACTGAAACTCTTTCTCTTGAGTGCTTTTACATGTCCTGTGGCAAACAAGGTCCCTGCCCCATGGATCTTCTCTGATCAACATCATGTGTATAAGAAAGATGAGGGTCTCTGGGAGATGTAACTCTGTAGATTTATGACCCCACTGTTTTGCTTTCCTACTCCTTTAAAAAGTGAATATGCTCAAAAGTCAACAGCTTTTTATAGGGGTGCAAGACAAATCTATCCCAAACACCCCATGGGCAAAGAACCCCTCAGGGGAATGAAAGAGGGAGGTGTTTCACACCCCTGCTAATCTTTCCTGAAGAGATAGCAAAGACAACAGTTACTACGTCACCTACATTTTTCCCAGTGAGACTTTAAACAGAGTTTTACTCGTGCTGCAAGGCTGCCAGTAAGAAATAATGATTTGTAGGACAGATGTGATCCAAAGGGGTAACAATGACATCATCAATATTCTTATGTTAGTCATGCAAAAAAACAGGGTTTTTACATAGCCTCCTGTGATTTGGAGGGTCTCTTTCATGTTGTCATACATCAGGGAAAAGGGCTGGAACAGTTTTTATTTTTTTTTAATCTTGCACTTTTTTTTAATCCCCTTGGGAAGGAAAAGTAACAAATCTCCCTTTTTGTTTGGCCTTTTGCCACTCTCTCACACTCTTGCCCTTGTTCATGACACAAGTGTTTTAATTTAGCTTCTGTTACAATAGCAATATTTTCTGGTACAGAGAACAGCAGTTTTGAGGCTATTTTGATGGCCAGAAGCAAGACAGCAGCTAACATGGTGAAAAGGTGAGACCAGTAGTGAATTAAAGAGTGGGCTGAACTGGGCTAGAAGAAAAATACTCTTAATCATAACTTTAAGTTAGGCATGAGATATTTTATGCACAGTTGCATTAAGAGAGGTCATCTAGGAATAAATAATAGTGGAACTGCTAAGCAGTTACACTAGGGACTGTGCTCCTGGTGTTCTGCTTTTGTCAGTGCAGGCCTACTGATTCCAGCAGGCTCTGCCAGGCACCCCAGTGGAGGAGTGATCCCTGTCTTTTTTAGTGGCATGCTGAAGATTTGCATGTGTCTAATGTTTTTGCTGTTGCTGTCATCACCATTCTGGTGGTTTTTTGATTGTGTTGGTTAGGGCATGGTGCTAATAGCACCAGGGTTGGGGATTCAGCCCTCATACTAGCCATGCACCTAAGAGTGGGACTCAGTAATCTTTGTGAGTCTCTTCCAGCTCAGCATATTGTTTCTCTGTGTCTGGCTTGAATATTCCTTGGTGCCGATGATTCTCACCTGTTCAGAAGCTGTGCAGTGTGTTGATGCATGTTAATATAACAACTGTGTGTGGCTTCATCATTGCATTATTTTTCTTTTATATACGCCTCTGTAAATGGTAGCTCTGTGGGGCAGAGAACTGTGCTCATCTGAAAAACTCCTGCCTTCATCTCCCTGTGCTGCAAAATGAGCAGCTTCCCTCACACCAAAGTGTCTCTGCTTCCTTGGTTAAACTGTCTCATGCTGCTGGGAGAGGTGCCACAAGTAACCTGTTTTAGGACTTGATACAAATACTGTTTTGCTACATTACTGTCTTGATTTTTTTTTTTTTTCCTAATTTCAAAATACTTTATAACTGCATCCAACAAGGAAAAGTGCCAGATTCTGCACCTGCCCCGTGCAGCCCTGGCTGTGTGTACAGCCTGGGGAAGGAGATGCTGGAAAGCAGCACCACACAAAGGGACCTGGGGGTCCTGGCTGGTGGCCAGGGGGGTCAGAGCCAGCAGGACATCCCTGTCCTGGGGCTCCAGGCCAGCATTGCCCGTGGGGCCATCAGGATTGTCCTGCTCTGCCCTGGGGCGGCCTCACCTCAGAGCTGGGGGCAGGTTTGCGCACCACAGTGTGAGGAGGAGATTGAGCTGCTGGAGAGAGGCCAGAGGAGGCCATGAGGACAGGGCAGGGCTTGAGGGGAAGCTGTGAGGAGCTGCTGAGGGCTCTGGCTCTGCTCAGCTGGAGAAGAGGAGGCTGAGGGGGACTCATGGCAGTCTGCAGCTCCCTGGGGAGGGGACGAGGAGGGGCAGGCACCGATCTCTGCTTTGTGTGACAGCGATGGCACCTGAGGGAATGGCCTGAAGCTGTGTCAGGGAGATTAAGGTTGGATGTTAGAAATGGGTTCTTCTTTCCCCAGAGGCTGGCTGGGCACTGAACAGGCTCCCCAGGGCAGTGGTCACAGCACCAAGGCTGGCAGAGCTCAGGGACTGTTTGGACAGTACTCAGGCACATGGTGTGACTCTTAGGGATGGTCTGTGCTGGGCCAGAGGTTGGACTCAGTGATCCTTGTGGGTCTCTTCAGACTCAGCATGTTCTGTGATTCCTTTTAGTGCACAGGAGTTAAATCTGAATGGAGGACAGTCTGGGATAATGCATGCATTGAGCCACCAGCACATGCAATAGATAGCAGGAAAGTGAGCCTAGCCTTGTCTTTGGAGAGTATATAAAAATATATGGAGAGTCCAGGAAAATAAAGTGGGATCAGGGTTATTCCAAGCATTGGGTCTATGTCATGTAGTTAGCCTGATTTCTGGCTAATGCTTTAGTAGACTCCTGAACATCTGGAGACAATGCTAGCAAGTTATCTTTCCTGTCTCTTCCAGTACTAATATAAAGGTTTGGTGGTAAGCAGTGAAGTGGTTGAGGGAGAAAGGTATTATTTAAATTGTAAAGCTATTAAATTATAAATAGAATAAAGTTGAGCAGTTAGTTTGCTCACAGGGCTGGGTGTTTAAATGACCTAATTGTAGGTCATGTGTCTAGCATCACGAATTTTAAAATCTCTGAGAGTTTTTTGATATTCTTTGGTTTGAGATGGTCATTATTTCTGAATGCTGGAAAAAATTCTGCATGTGTAAAGGATGAGACCTTAATCACCTGAAATGTTTAAATGCCGTTCCAAAAGCATCTGTCACT